TGGTTTTTGCGCGAAGCGGCTCTTAAGGAGGAGGAATCTCTCCATGCGTTTAAACGCAAAATTAAAAATTATGATTTTTGCATATACAACATATAGTTATAAATAGATAATTTCATTACTGTACTGAAATCAACTTTTAATATTTTTTACGTTAAATTCTCTAGGGAGACCAATGTAAAGTTCGTTATTATTATTATTGTTATTATTATTATTGCAGTGATTACACATGAATACAGTGAATACACATGAATACAGTGATTACACATAAATACAGTGATTACACATGAATACAGTGAATACACATGAATACAGTGATTACACATGAACACAGGGATAACACACGATTACACTGATTACACATAAATACACGGATAACACATGAATACAGTGATTACACATGAACACAGGGATAACACATGAATACAGTGATTACACGTGATTACACATGAATACAGTGATTACACATGACTACAAGGATAACACATGAATACAGGGATAACACATGAATACAGTGATTACACATGAATACAGTGATAACACATGAATACAGGGATTACACATGAATACAGTGATTCACATGAATACAGGGATAACACAGGAATACAGTGATTACACATGAACACAGGGATAACACATGATTACAGTGATTACACATGAATACAAGGATAACACATGAATACAGTGAATACACATGAATACAGTGATTACACATGAATACAGTGAATACACATGAATACAGTGATTACACATGATTACAGGGATAACACACGAATACAAGGATAACACATGAATACAGGGATAACACGTGAATACAGGGATAACACGTGAATACAGGGATTACACATGAATACAGGGATATAACACATGAATACAGGGATTACACACGAATACAAGGATAACACATGAATACAGGGATAACACATGAATACAGTGATTACACATGATTACACACGAATACAAGGATAACACATGAATACAGGGATAACACATGAATACAGGGATAACACATGAATAGTGAATTTAGTGCATATATATGAATAAAGAGGCAATAATACGTTAGGTGCATTTGCTAACCTTGTTCTTTTTTGCGGGGTTCCTGTGGGTAACGCAATCCTGTCATAATGTCATCGATGGACGATATCTGTACTATATTGTTTTTGTATCGATTTGAATGGATGTGTTTGCTGAAATTTGACTTCAAGAAATGTTTTCCAATGCAAAGGTGAGAGTTTATATTTTAGATGTGCTTAGATGTTAGTTTTAGTCAAGAAGCGTTCGTGACGGCCATTCTGTTTACTAATATAAAGCTCAAATCAGTGGTTTTTAGTGTAATCAAACCCATTATTGCTATAGATATCATATTTCTAGACGTGTTTGATATAATATAAGTCATATTAACATGATTGGTCTTCATGATTTACACGTAGAAAGATTTTATGTTTGTATTATCGAATAGCGTGTGAAATTACGTGCATATTGCGAGACCTCGGAAATCGTCAATTTTCAGTAGCCCAAAAATTTTATTGCAGCTATTTGAAGATCAATCATAGTACTTTCGGCCTATAATAGTCACCTTATCAAAGTCCATGTAGCAATGTGAGTTTTTTGGCCTTTTTGTAATGCATGTTTTTGACTAGCGAAAAATACCCTAGATAAAAAATTATGTAAAATATTTCTAAACGCAATTAATATAAAACAAATTCGGCAGACTTGTAGCAGAATGTGTTTTCTTACATGAAAGGAAATATTGTTTCGATTTAGCTGTTTCTGAATTTTTTAGAGATTTTTAAAGAAGGTAGTCTGAAACCGCTAAAATTTGCATAAATTGACAGCAAATCACAAAATCGTCGATTTCTCGTTAAAAACAAATCCGATGAGGTTTTTAGTATTTTTCTCATTCATTGCTCACCTAGGACTATGTCAGAGAATTTTTTGAATTTTTTTTATTTTGCACGCCTTTGGTCGATTTTTACAGATGGCCGCTCTTAAATTATGTAGAGAAACCTTCTGTTGCAATTAGTTCTAGGTCAAATTGTTTTTTGACTGGACTAATAGGCATGTCCACACTAGACAAATTGTTCCATCGATATATGTAAAAGTCAAATAATTACATACTTTCTTTCTTTCATTCTCTATAGGGGCTTTTTGATGAATAGCTACTTTGAACTCTTCCATTGTAAAATGTGCTGGAATAACTCATTCTCATTTCATAACAAACAAAATCTATTCATTTCCTTTGATTTCAAAGTTGCTATTTCTGGCACTGGTGTCAGGAACCAGTGTCAGATATCTTGCTTGCTCATAAGTACCAGTGACTTGTTTGTTTACTATCATTAGTTGTCTTGTTGTTGAGTGATGTTGTTTTGAATGTCCTTCAAATAAATATTCAAAGGTGTCTTGGTTTTCTACTTTATTTAGAATAGGTTGTCTTCATTGTGAGTATTGCTATTACTATTCACCTTTTAGTTTTGGTTTCTTGTCACTGAGTATATATTTCTTATCCTTTAGTATTGGTGTATTGATTGCCATTCTAGCATTGGTATCTTGCTTGTCCTTCTAGTACTGCCTTCTTGCTTGTCAAGATGAGCCGACGGTTAACTTTATCAAGTCGGTATAGTGAGAAAAGTGACAAAATGTTCGTGGTTTGCATATAAGCATGGCACCACTGATATTCTTGGTTACCTTACTGTAACTGGCATATGCAATCACAGCTCATAAGAGTCAAGAGCAGACCTTGAAAGCTGTTTGTGTTCATTCTTGAAAGGACTTTGTACCTGGACAGTTGTATGTTGCCTGTTCTCGTGTGCCTTCTATGCAAGGGTTGTTAATTTCAATGAGCAAAAGCTGATGAGATCATCAAGCAAGGTAGATAGCTTTTATGCTAATTGTTGTCTCTACAGTTGCGGATGTGTTGTACACAAAAGATATTTCTAGATGGAAGAAATGGACAGATGATTGGAATACAGCAATATCCTCGTGAAATGGAACTTGATGAGCAGGAATTGGATGAGATTGATAAGATTTGCAGCTCATATTTTACTGATGGTGAAATTGAGCAGCAGGATATTGTGAACTTGGATTTTGTATTAACTGACATTCTGTAACAGATGTCTGGTGGTATGCCTGATTTAAATGAGATTTCTCCACTTGCCTTGTTGGATGAGTTGAGAGAAATGGTGATCAATACTTCGATAGCATTAAGTACAAGGATTATGGATATTATCGATCTGCTTAAGAATGACAAATACAATTGTTCGCAAGCACTCAGCAAAGCCGTCTTTACTAATTGTTGTATTCTGAAATGTCATAATGTGATGATGATGGGGCATAGGGTAAAACATGGACTGGACCTCTGGATCCCTGGACCCTGGACTCTTGGATCATGCAATCTTGGACCCAAAATTGATTTTTTATTACACGCAAAAAACTAAAATACCAGCACATCGTCGCTAACAATTACTATTTATAACTCAGTTCCGACATGAATTTGCCTTCATAGTACACGTATTTATCTTATTCAACTTTATTTTCGGGATTAAAATGAATTGCGACTTCTTACTTTTGCAACCGGAAAGAAAATGACCGCTAGCTGTATAATACAATTTGGTACAATCAATGTCTAACAAGTTTCACTTAGTTCATAAGACACAAGATGAGCATAACTGTAAGTATAAAATTGTAGCACTTGCATTATTGCTGTTGCCTATATTTGAATTGATTGAGATCGTATGTATACAAAAGCTAAATATTTTTGGTTGAATGTTTTTTGATTTAGTCATATTTCATATTTGGATTTGTCATCTCAAATTATTATAGATCTCTCAAGTTATGGCCGGGGCCGGGGTCGGGGCCGGGGTCGGGGCCGGGGCCGGGACCGGGACCGGGGTTATGGTAAGTAATGCCATTGCAATGAATATTCTAAAAATTCAAATACAGATAGAATGGATGTAAATTCCAAGGACAAAAAAAAAAACAATAGATTGAATAAACAATCAATGTACACCATACACCTGTACTGGAATTTTAACGACATTCATTATTGAACTGTTGTAATATCAAATACCAAATTGTTCAAACAGTTTTTATTTGAGAATAATCGTTTTACCAATATTTAATCAAATTAGGGACTATTATATCATGATTCTAGTAATTGTTCCTTCAAAGACTGATTCCTATTACATTATTATTATCATTATTAGATTGTTCCTTCTGACTTCAACCTGAATCTCTGCTGCATGTTGTCTCTAGCAAGTTCAATTAAGTAATTTTTGTTAATCTATCAATCAGTGCTCATGAAGTATTTGCTAAAGAATCTGAAAACTTTAGCACTATGCTAGATGATTTAGGTTATGAAAACAATTTCAAGCAATATATAATCAAAACAATAATTAAAATAGCCATTCGATCCACTTATTTCATTTTTTGCCGAAGGAACAAGGATTGGGAAAGTCCAGACTTTATAAAATACAAATTTTTTAAAATTAATGATGTCAGTAATAAATTATATATACCTTCATGCATGTAATCATTTATCTTGTTAGATTCAAGTATGCTTTTGTGAATTACCTACATGTAGCGAGATTCGCAATTGTATTCTATAAGAAAATAAAAGATGGTTTTCATTATTATTATCTGTATTGTTTTCTTTTCAAAGTTTTATAAAATATAGGTCCGTGTTCATCCCTTGAACATAAGGAGTCCATACATAATTGTCATTGGTATTACTTGATGGATAGTGTCCTCCTTAGTATATGTGCTGTACCAAGGAGCACAATCTTCTGTAGCTCTACTATTTTTATATTTCCAGGAATTTTGTTTATATATTTATCTATCCCTTTTTTAATAGAGAGCTTAAGATACAACGGTTCCGGGTACGTGTACGGGTAATATCTACCCGTAGCCGTACCGGCCTTACGGGTACTAATCTGTAGTTAAGATTCCGCGGGATCGCTGTAATAAATATTTTCATAAAAGAGMCTGGGTACTAGGCGAAGAATTCAAGATGGCGGCTCAGCAGATAAGGTAGGATTTTTGTATTTAGTCGAGCTTTTATTGATCATTGCGTTGTGCYGGCCGYTTAAGAGTTTTGAAACCTCAATTTTGAATGCTTCTTAATAAATTTTGTGAAATCATATGTGGTGTTTAATTCCAAGGAGGACGATAAACGATCTTTCTTGGATAATGGCCATGGATGATGAAGATGACTCAGATGTGGAAATCTTGCTACTAGATGCGTTAGATAGGGAGCCTAGGCCTTTTCAAAGCTCCTTWAGGATCGACTTGGAAGCTCTGAATGACAAGGAATGCATTGACCTGTTTAGGTATAGAATTGAATATAGTTAAAGTTGCATTCCTATCTAAAACAAAAGAGATGTTTATGTTTACTTATGTAAGTAGAGTGCTTTTAGCGTACATAAACCGTGTATGAATAGTCTAGCACAATTACTACTTATTTCTAAATATTTAAAAAACTGTTATTTCTATTGTGCAGTCTATTGTCTTATTAAAAACTTAACAATTAGTAACGGTTTAAGTATGTTCACTCTACTAAATCATGAGTGCAGTATAACTTAATAGCACAAAAGAGGTGATAAATCATGCATATTATTTTGTTTGCTGTTGTCTAATCAGCACTATTTATTGGTATTTCTAGTAATAGAATGAAAATATAACTGTTAAACACTAATTGCTCATAATAACTTGCAAACTAATGAAAGTTGAACAATAGAAAACAATAAAATTAGCATAAAATATTAAAATTTAGTTTAACTACTGTTTCACAGCTATAGTTTGTTCTCTACTGTATGTGTTTCATGAATTCACTGTTTATAATCAAATATTTGTTACCTCATTAATTTGATAAGAAGAACTATGAGATGCAATTTCAAACATGTGCTATCAGTCAAAACTGAGACTGCAAAGAAAAGCTTTTTATAATTGCTTAATTATATATAATACGTTTTTTGAAAGTGTGCAACAGTAGAATTTATTTTGGATTTTTAAAATTTTGTGCATTAAAACTATCTTTTAATAATTTTACAATCATAAATGTATTTTTAATAGCTAGCTAAGCTTTAGTGGGATTACCCTGCTTAAATAAAGGTTTCCATATATGATTTTAGTTGTGTATTTCCCTCTCTAGATTCAATAAAAACGATCTAAGGCTTCTCCATGAGCTATTACAAATTCCAGAGGTGTATAAATGTCCAAATGGTACCGTGGCCCGTGGTATGGAGTCCCTTCTTCTCATTCTCAGAAGGCTCTCTTACCCAAATCGTCTATCAGATTTATGCCCACTCTTTGGGCGACCTGAACCTGAGTTAAGCATGATCCTACATGAGGTATCTTACTCTTATGTAACATATCTATGAACTAACTGACTAAATGCATAGAATATCCAAAATTTGACCCCAGGTTTTAGATGACTTGTATGACCGGTTTGGTCATCTCCTTGAAATTCTGGATATGAATTGGATAGATGGACAAACCTTTGCTGATGCCATTCATGCTGCTGGGGCATCTCTTGATAAATGTTGGGGGTTTATTGA